AAATTGACATTTTTTTTAATGAGTCATCTGGCAAAAGCAATCACCCTTTTTAAAAACAAACAAACAAACAAACAAACAATTTTTTTTACATGTGTAGCTGGGAAAATCTAACCATTGATTGTTGATGATCAAACAATTGGGTAGACAATTGTCACCCATTTAGGAACATGGGAAGTTACCTTACACTGAGCCAGACCATTTATTCATCTAATTCTGTATTGCCTACAGTAGAGCCAGGGCTGGCCCACCCACGAGGCAGGATGGAGTAGCTACCTCTGGTGACGGAAGCCCAAGAAGCGATGCCCCTGTGGTTACCTTGTCCACCCAACAACCAGCAGAGAGGTGGTGCAAGCAGCAGCAAGATCTCACCAAAATCTCACTAGAGCTCACCAAAACTCATGAGATCCTGCTGGAACCCACTCTTGGTGTCTCCGCTTTGTGGGCACTGCCACATAACCCACATAAGAGAGGTTGGTGGCATAGCAGCATATTCTCAGTTCGTTTCAGGTGGCAAAACAGGATGTGCCGCTTCTGACTAGACTCAACATGGTGTTGCTAAACAAATTCCCAGTATGGCCAATGATCAGGGATGATGGTAATTGTAGTCCAGCAACATTTGGAGGGTAGCCCTGGTCTACTCTGGCTAGCAGTGGCTCTCCAGGGCTACCTGGAGATGCCAGGGTTTGAACCATTTTTTTATGGTGGCTTTGAATGCAGGGAATGTTTACTGACACTTGAACATACCTGTAAAATGGTGAACTGCATCTCAGAATGCAGGTGGAAACTTCCTACTGGAGATAAGAGATAAGGCATATCTGAGGCCTAGTTCTCACTGGCAGAAAGGTCTGTGTCTGGGTCATATGGCTTACTGCTGCCAGTGTGAGGTTCATGTAGTGGAATATCTTCCAGACAAAATCATCTCTGCACACAGAAAACTATAACTGTTAAGGACTCTAGCCCAACCTTCTCCCTGGTGTGCTAGTTTTATATTTACAGGCCATATTTTATATAAGAAATCCCTTCAGATGAGCTTCTTTCTGCAGCCTCATGTAGTACAGCCTGGATACAGATACATTATCTCCAGGGGTGGAGGAAGGGGGGTGCGGTGGGTGCGGGTCGCCCTGGGTGTCACCACTGAGGGGGGTGACAAAATGCCGGGTGGCACTCACCGTGGGGCCCGCAGCACGCCTGAGCCACGCATCTCTCCTGGGAGAGAGTGGTGGCTTGGGCGCACAAAGACTCTGCGCTGCCCAAAAGGTCTGCCCACTGCCTCTTCCACCCCCAGCTGTAGGGCAGCTGAGTGGGAGGAGGCAGGCATACTCCAGAGGCCCCTATGAACAGCTCGCCCCGCCCCTGGGTACACCACCCCAGGCGCCTGAGCAGCTTCCTCCACCGCTGGTTATCTCCAGGAGGAGAATGAGGCCATTAGCACTTCAGAGTTGGGTAAGAAAACCCTTGTACTTTTTAGATTTGCCAAGCTGCAACCCAGAGATTTCAACTTTTATCTTTATGTTGCTGTGGTCTCAGAAGACAAGGCACCCATAGCTTTCCCCTCCTGAATCTGTCTCTCTCTCACACACATAACACACACGCACCTGCAATCTATGGCACACCTTGAGTCCAGCTTGTTACAGCAGGTAAGGAATGGAGCAGATGGGATAACCAGGAATAGCTGCAACTACTTCATCTCCTAATTCAGCAGAATATTTAAACTTGGGGGGTGGGAGCAGAGAGAAAGAGAACCTCTGGATTTCAGCCTGGCCTACTTAGCACTTATCATGGTTTCCAAAATGGAAGAAAGGGACAAATATTTTATAATATCTATAAAGCTGTGCTGGCTCTGTTTATAGCAAAGAGGGTGCTGTCTGCCATACTGAAACCAGGAGAGCCTGGACCATAAACAAAGGAATGTTGATTAGCAAACAGAAAGTCTGTGGGAAGACCAAAAGGTTGCTTTATTGTAAGTTTATCTATGCAGTGTCTGTTTCAGTCTTTTACTAACAGCAGATGGAACAGAACTACCTATGTGATGTCCAAATTGAGATCTGTAGAGCCAAAAACCTCTTAAATTCGCTTAGCATTGGACCGTGAGAGAGATGGGAGAGAGCCCATACTCTTCAGACCACTGAGGTAAACCATACTGAAGCTGGTGTGGTGATTGTATGCTAAATGTTTTCAAGATAGCTGCTCACAATGTGATTTTCCTCGCAAGGATTTGTGTCAATTTTGGATATCTGTTGCTTCAATAATCTGTATATGCAAGCAGTACTGGCAGCGTTGCCTTGGAGCTGACCACAATCTGGGCTAGTATTTTTGGAAAGTCTCTGTAATTGTGAAGTTGCAGGACTCAAGCCCATTGTTTCTTCATGCTTTGCATTTTAACCACAGTTCTTGGATGCTTACAATAGAGCCGACTTAATGACTCACCAGGGTCCTAGCATTCAGATCTCTGAGGTCATGTAACACATTTTCGGAACCCTGGTCTTTGCTTTAGTTATAAGCCAGTTAGTAAACCAGAATCAAACAATTCTCTAAAGGAGTGGGTGGAATGCTGGATCCAGTTGGAACCTGCAAATGCAATTTTAATTGGGATTTATTGTCTGTTTTTGTTTTGAGATTCATTTCATATGGTATTTTTTAAGTGTTCTAAAAAGTGTGTTTTGGCTAGAAAGTACCGCTTTATGGCTCTTGCAAACAGTACTAATATTTCTACATGCATATCACCCTTACAACTGATACTGATTATCATGCTTTCTCTGAATTATAAACAGGAATAAACAGGGGAGGAATCATTGATGAGCTTGGCATCCAAATTACCATTGAATATTGAGTAATTTCCAGGCTCATCCTGAGCCAGCAAAGAAGAGCCACATGCAAAAGCAGGCGGTGGCACGCAAATGCCTTTGCTGCACTGCAGAGATGGGGAACCTCAGACCTGCTGGCCTAATCCAGCCAGCTAGGCCTCTGGACCATCATCTCCCCACTTCTTTCCCACTGCGGAGCTCTAAACTTCAATCAGAAGAGCTTTAATCCTCATTCCTTCCCCATGCTCTCATTACTCCCACTCCAGCGCATGTTACTCAACTAATTAGAGAATACATTTCCTCACTGCTTAATGCTGCTTAGAGAATACATTCCCTCACTGCTTAATGCTGCTTAGAGAATACATTTCCTCACTGCTTAATGTGTTGGGATCCCTAAGTGAAATAGCTTGCTGCCTGCGTTGTTCTCCAAGCTGAATGCCTGCATCCTAATATCAGGGCTACATGTGCCATTCCCCAGGAGTCTGACTGTGCCCAGCCACCTTACCAAGCCATGCTCAGGTGTGCACTGCATCACAATGCACATCCAGGCACTTTCCTCACTTGTGAAAGGAGATGCATTTTTGTATCCATCGTTCTGGTCTGTTAAGGAAGCTGCATATACGTAGCTTTCAAAAAGGAGTAGTGCAAGTAAGATACAAATATAACATAATGTTACATATTTGTTTTTTGCTTTTTCAAGATTGCACTCCCCATTATAAACAAGCCTGAGATAATATGTACTTGATCCACTTTGAAACTGTTAATTCACTTTTCAGTATGTGCCACTGAAGACAACCGTATGATTGAAATACATTTGGCAGCTTTTAGTGTTTATTTGTAGCAGGCCATCTAGACACTTTTTATTCTGTTTTTCATCACACATTGTATTTTGTTGCTGAGTTTTGAACCCATTTTATCTCACTGTTGGGCAACTGCAAGTGTTAAGCCACATTGACTTTTGCTTTTTTAATTTTACTGAGTAAAAATTACAGTTTGGTGGGCATCTCTTTTTACCCTGTGTCTTGGTACTGAGTAGTCAGGAATTGCTCTTTCTCTCTTTGATTCTGTGTATGCACAACATCCTGATCACCAGGCTGGTTATTTTTGCTGCTACTTACTGAAACAAAATCCAGCTCTCATATAAATGAACAAACAGAACAAAGACAAGTGTTGCACACTAGAGAATTCCTGGGGCTCAATGAGAAGCCTGGGCTTCTCAGAGGAATGAATTAATCTGGATCTTCACAGGGTTTGCTCTTTTCCAGGAAAAGTGTTGGACTGTGATGTCAAATTTGGGTGAGATGACTTTAGCTTACTTCTCTGATCTACAGTTTCAATTCCAAAATCAATCCAGGCAGATAAGGCAAATGCAGACAGGGAAGCATGATGGACGTGATGGTTGATTTTTCAACAAATAACAGAAAAATTGCTGCCAGTATAGATCACTAGGACAGAGGAAAGTATCTGCCTGTGTGTGTATTGATAACTTAGGTGGGTGTATATGATTGTAGTGTCTCCTGAAAAAGAAGGAAAGTAGCATTTTCCTTACTTGCCTTCACCTACACTGCAATTATAATTGCAGGTTTGATCTTAGTTTGTATGTTTCATAATGTTCCCACATGAAGTTGGCCTGGAACTTATCCTTTGCCATTGCTGAGGGATAAAAACTGTAAGCAGAGCTTCTAAAGAATTGAGTGTCATGAGTGAGCAATCTAGTTTATCCTTTACTTCTGTCACTATAGCTGCAGCAGTAGGAATGCTCTACATTCAGGGACTTTTAAATGCACAAACCTGGGCAAGGACCCAGAATGATGAAGTTCTGGTGTGGAATCATGCTACTGAATTGTTCTTTAGCTAATCTGTTGACTTTGTTATCTACCCTGAACCTCTTGAATATATTGTGATACAGGTCCAGCGATAAATAAAAAGCTTTTCATCAGGTTTCTGAATGACTTTTCTATTTGTCCACTTTCAGGTCACTTCTTGGGCAACAATACTGTTATCGATGTGCTGAAGCAAGCTGGGTTTGAAGTAAAGCATATTCCTGCAGGACAACCAATAGAAAAGTAAGCTTCATTTGTCTTTATTCCTCCCCTTTTCCTGTGAATAAGCAAATCTATTACATTTTCAATAATGCATTGTTCACAAAAACATAGGACATTACATAAACAGAAGTTGTTTTTCAGAATGGCACAGGGTCAAAAAAGTAAAGTTTTCTTCTATCTTTCAACGGTCATTTTCTCTCAGTTTCTCATTTTTCCAATCTTAAGTTAAGTCCATTTCCACATCAGTCTCTGAATTTTTTTCATTAGCCTGCATGAAAATTCATACCCATTTTCATATACAATACACACACTTTTTTAATATGCACACCACTTTGCAGTTTTGCAAACAATGCAGTTTTACATGTTCTTTCACTAATGCATGCATTTTTGTTTGTACTTTCCCAGTGTACATATTTTGTACTTGTTTTCTGGATGGAGAACTGTATCACAAAATTCAGAGACATGTAAATTTCAAAGGATAACTGTGGTTCAGTTTCTGTATTGTTTCCGGAAGTATAGAATCATAGAATCATAGAATCATAGAGTTGGAAGAGACCACAAGGGCCATCAAGTCCAACCCCCTGCCAAGCAGAAAACACCATCAGAGCACTCCTGACATATGGTTGTCAAGCCTCTGCTTAAAGACCTCCAAAGAAGGAGACTCCACCACACTCCTTGGCAGCAAATTCCACTGTCGAACAGCTCTTACTGTCAGGAAGTTCTTCCTAATGTTTAGACAGTATGAATTAGACAGGTTCACATTTAAATGCAAACCATGCCTATCCATGTGTTATATAATTCTACCAATTTTAATGTCTGGAAGCAAGTGTAATTGACTTATTCTGAATTCACCATCACACAGTCACAGTTTTGACCCAGAGGTGGGGGAATTGCTGTTATCTAACTGTATATAAATGCTCTACAAAAAGGGAGGCTCTTGTAGACAATTGACATGAGGACTATCACTAGCAAAACAGAAGCTTATTTTTGTCACAGTGCCTTGAACCAATGTTAAATATGACTCAATCACCAGTTCTGTTTTGTCTTATATCCATATTTACCATAGATGCCAATTCTGGCTTGATTTTTTGGGGGGGACAATAGCCCCCCCAATAGTTTTTGCTGATGGTTGTATAGATTCCAAGGTCACAAGTAAGGATATTGCCTCAATAATTCAGTTCATGGAGTAAACATTAATTGTGGAATTCAAGGGAGAAGAAATGCAACCTTGTCAGCATTCCAAGCTAAGTTGGGCACACAATACTGATACGCTTCTGAAGAGCAGAGTAGATTCTGAGAATTCAGCAACAATAGAAAGTCATCACTGGTCACAGGTGCATAGTGAATTGCTCTTTTTGATAGGTACTTTCAGATTAAATGGGTAGCAGCTGCTATATTGGATTTGCTCACTGGAATTTGTATAGAGTGGAACTTCTTTACTTTGCTCCTCTTCCCCCCTGCAAAAGAGGAGAAAAGTGATAAAAAATGTTTGTGGTTGCCTTGAATCAAAGCACTCGAGGAGTTATATAACATTTGAAGGACTCATTCAAAATGAGAATCCACGGGCACAGGCTTCTATGCTCTCTCTCCAGCTTTTCACTTCTTTTTTAATTGCAAGGAGATTGAAAGCTTCAACTTTTAATTTGTAAACTAACCGCAGTTCCCCCTCATTATATGAATTTTAGGAACTGTGATTTGTTTAAACCATGGTCCCATCTGTCCTATATATTTAAAGCATTATCATGTAATTTTTAACAGTCATGGCTTCCCCTGGGAAATGTAGTTTGCTAAGTGTGCTGAGAGTTGTTAGGAGACACACACATCCTGTTCTCAGAGTTCCTTGGGAACAGGGGTTGAGAACTGTAGCTCAATGTGAGGGATAAGTAAACAGGTAAAGGAACCCCTGACCATTAGGTCCAGTCGTGGCCGACTCTGGGGTTGCGGCGCTCATCTCGCTTTATTGGCTGAGGGAGCCTGCGTACAGCTTCCAGGTCATGTGGCCAGCATGACTAAGCTGCTTCTGGCGAACCAGAGCAGTGTACGGAAACGCCGTTTACCTTCCCGCTGGAGTGGGACCTATTTATCTACTTGCACTTTGACGTGCTTTCGAACTGCTAGGTTGGCAGGAGCAGGGACTGAGCAACGGGAGCTCACCCCGTTGTGGGGATTCGAACGGCCAACCTTCTGATCGGCAAGTCCTAGGCTCTGTGGTTTAACCCACAGCGCCACCCACATCCCTAATGTGAGGGATAGAGGTTTCCTAATAATTCTCAGGACTCTTCACAAACTGCAGTCCCCAAGATTATCTGATGGAAGCCATGGCTGTTGAAAATCACATGATAATGCTTTAAATGTATAGTGCAGTTGGAGCCTGTGTTTAGTGAGAATGAGCCAAGACGAAACCATGATTTCATATTCTGGCCTGTTTTCATAGCATAGTTTAAACCACTGTTCCCTGAGATTGTATGTCAAGAAGAGGAACTCAGGGTAGTGAAAACCTTTGGGCATAAAAGAGAAGAGGGGACAGAGCAAGGGAGCCCAAGGCTCACTGTGACATTGTGCATCAGTTCTTAAAAGCCAACTTGGTTTTTTGAAAGCCAAATCTGGTGCTCCTGACCTTTCAGTCCATATCCTAATTAAATCTGAAAAATAAGGCTTCCTTAGCCTGCCAAGAATAAGTATTTTGATTAATCTTTGAATAACTTGGCCTGTGAGATCCTCTATTGTGCAGCTTGTAAAACCAAAGCCCATAGCCAAATGTTAAGCCTCCATGGCCTTGATGTTATGATTTGTTGTGGGCATGGAATCTTTTATTCTACCATTCCACCCTTCAACCTGTTTTTATATGACAACAGGTTTTTCAATAGCCTCTAACTAGGATGGGTGAGGGATTAAATCAAAACATTTCAACTTGAGTGTGCACAAATTAATTCTTAACTTAAACCAAATCTGTGGAATTAGAAGGAATGAATGCTTTACAAATTGGTCACTGGAAATATGCACACCAGATTTCCAAGGAATTTCCATCTGCTCATAAAATTGTTTCCTTTGTGATTTTATTGCATTTATAAATCCAATTAACTTTCAAGGAATGTGGTCAAGAAACGTAGTTGTTCTGGGTAAATTTTAGATAAAAGAATTAGCAACATACTTTATAATAAGATTTAAAAAACAATTTAGTCCTGTTGCTCTGAGAAATGTCCTGTTGATTTGACTGATAGAAGAACTAGATTTTCTTTAGATATCATTCATATCCAGCAAGATATTTCCAGAACATTGAGTGACATCCTTCTGTTTACTTGTTCCTAAGAAAACCTGCCAATTTGGTAGTAATATCTTGGTGGTTCAACCAACAAGTTTTTATATCTACAAAAGAAACCCCTGTTGATATTATGCATTGCAGTCTGAGTGGTTAACGGATAATGAGAAAGATACAGCAAATCTTCTGCTCCCAATTCTCCATAACTTATTGCCTGATCTGTCATTGGCACAATAAAAAAATGAACATGCACATGCTACTAGTACTCATTTGCAAAAGGGTAGAGAGTAAAATTGTTCATGCCAAATGCCTTTGTAAAGCTGGGGAGAGAAGCTAAAAATATTTGCTGTGTGAGTATAGGCCTTATTGAAATCTCACTGATGGGTTTTGGACCAGATTTGTTTTGTTTCTCTTTTTTTGGCATATTTTCTTAAGACACAGAGCCTAGGGCTTGCCAATCAGAAGGTCGAATCCCCGCTACGGGGTGAGCTCCCATTGCTTGGTCCCTGCTCCTGCCAACCTAGCAGTTCGAAAGCATGTCAAGTGCAAGTAGAGAAATAGGTACCGCTCTGGCGGGAAGGTAAACAGCGTTTCCGTGCGCTGCTCTGGTTCACCAGAAGCAGCTTAGTTATGCTGGCCACATGACCCGGAAGCTGTCTGTGGACAAACACTGGCTCCCTCGGCCAGTAAAGTGAGATGAGCGCCGCAACCCCAGAGTCATCCATGACTGGACCTAATGGTCAGGGTCCCTTTACCTTTACCTGTGAAAAAATGGACTACAATGTCAGTTCCTTCCTTCATTTATAGGCCACCCTATAATAAAACGTTCTCTGGGCAAGTTACTATATAGAATTTACAAAAACAAAAACAGTCAGAGCAAAACAACAAACAGCAGAAAACTTGAAAAGCAGAAAAAGAAAAGTAAACTAAAGAAATTTTGAGACTAGCAAATTTTAAAGGGATGGGAGGGAGAAAAAACTCGGTACTGAAATGATGACAAATTAGCAATCAGATGAGCCTCTATGGGGAGAACATTTCACATGCAGGGTGCCACCATTTAAAAGGCCCTTTTCCAAACAGCCACCCACCTCACCTTGTAGGGACACTCAGAGAAGGGCCTCAGAAGAAGATCTTGCAATCTGAGTCACTAAACTTGATAAAATGCAATCCTTCAGGTAGCCTGGTCCCAAACTGTGAAGGGCCTTAAAGGTTCAAAATCACCTATGAATTAATTGAAGCACAAAGGGCCATTTTCAAATGCAGCCCTGTGTTGCAGTAATCCACTTTAAATAACTGGAGTGGTTCTAACACAAATCATACCTCTTTACCACTCCAAATTACATAGTGAGGGAAAAGCAATCTCTCCAAGTAATTGCAGCATGCAGGGTGGAAGGAGCTTATCCTGCTTTCTTTCATTTGGCACTTGTGTCTTGTGGATGAAACTTTTCAGCCTCCAGTAATATTCCTCTGGAACAAAGTGCTGCTACACTTTGTACCATCCCAAGTGGCTACAAAAGTATTGAGTGGCATCATGTGCCTACAGAGATTGCTGGTTTTATCTGTTGACGTCTGCGGTCTGTTTGCAGTCACTCAGGACTGTCCGGCACTTACTTCTCCCACCTATACTATCATGCCGTCAAGCTAAGAAGCCTCTCACACATTTGTCTGAACAGCTTCCAAAGTTAATCTCTTTAAACTGAGCAGCAATGGTTCAGCATGTGTTGAAATCATTACAACTACTCACAAGGGCTACTACTGCAACCCACTACCCACTTTCTCCAGTATTTCTGACTTTAATAGGACTGCTTCAAAGTCACTGCAGAACTCTATAATTGTAGGCCACAATTCACAGAACTTCTTTCTAATGCAGAGCAGCTGTTTACCCAAGATCTTGACATAAGGAAAATCAAACTGCAACCCAATAATCTGTTCCATGTATGGAAGCTTGTTTCATATAGCTAATTGTACACATGGCTCATGCAAGCGTACTGGGTGGATAGTGTTATTATACAGTTTAGTCCCTAGGTGGCACTGGGAGTACTTGAATCTGGGAGGAGTCAGAGGCTTTCTTCTATTGTTCTGTTCTTTTTTAAGAGAGAACATAAAGTTCTTGTCCATCTCCCTGGTTGTTATGTCTTCTACACTTCTATGGCAAGCACAAAATAGCAGCTTTTTCTGCTCACAGCTATCAGGATTGTAATCCCAGCTTGTAGCTAATTGACCATTTAGCCACAATGCTATGAAAGGACTTGAGGGAGACTCAAAAGCAATTTATAATGGGACTGTTTTTAAGTAAGTGGGTTGTGGATTGAAATCTTAGTTTGTTATTTATTTATTTCACTATAGAAGCCTTTCTCTGAGCGTCACCATCAAATGACTACAGGTGAGATGGCCTTTTATTAACGGTGGTGTCCAGAGAAGTTATATGAAGTGTTGCATGCTAATATTAGAAGTAGATGTTTGACTGGAAATGCAAGTTTAATTCAACACCAACAAGGCTTCTGGTCGAGCCACTAAATAAAAACATTAGTGGACCATACACAAGCTAGCAAAGGCAGGAAAGCAAGCAGCTGGAGGATATTGCCAAAATATCCTGGCATGGAGCAATGCATAGAAAAATACTAGCAACAGGACTGCTAGAATCTAGGCCAAATGCCACCCATAGTTTCAGCTATAATCTGCAGCAGTTGCCAAACCTATTGGAATGAGAGGGGGGACAGGGTGTCGTTCAGCCATTGGGAAGTATGTGGATGAATGGCAAAGATACCATCTCAGGCAGCTGGCATGGTGATAAAGCACTTCCAATCAAACAAGCAAACTTTCAATGAAAAAATCATACATGCCAAGGAGGATGTTTCCTGAGTGACATAATATGCTCTGGGGAAGGACACCGCAAATGGTTTTCATTTTCTCAGAGTTTCAATTATTGCATAATGGGGTTTTCTTGACGGTAAGAGAAATTATATGGCTTTATTTCAGGGGCAAAGATTATGGTTCCTGAGAAACAATGGAAGCTATTTCTCCTTTCCTGTTGTTGTTGTTGTTGTTGTTGTTGTTGTTGTTGTTGTTGTTGTTCTACTTGTTGTTGTTCTTGTTGTTTTAAGTATTCCCAATAAATATAACTTCCTTCCAAAATGAGTATAGTCCTCAAATAGCACAAATTTTGAAGAGGAGGCATAGATGACTGTGGGACGGTGGCTGCACACTACAGTCAATGGACTGTAGCCAGTTCTATGGCATGTGCGAACCAGCTAAGAAGAACCCACTGCTACCCACTGCTACATGTTTCAAGCATAAGCTTAAGCCATATGAGTGAAGTGCCAATGATTGCAACAAATATCTCCACCTCCTCTCTTCCTTTTACTGAGACATTTGAGTCCTAAGATAAAATGAAGAAGATTAAACATCTCACAGTTTATGTGGTTCTCCTCAGTAGGATGACAGATCAGAGACATATTGCCATTGAATATATTAAGGTATTCTTACTACTACTACTACTACTACTACTACTACTGCATCATCACATATGTTAGTGTCTCCTAAATGCAAGCCACAAGACCCTATGTATATTATATATGCCTTCCTTTCTACACTGCTGGAGTGTGGCAGTTTCAGGTGATGAGATGTACAAGCATTTGTCACCAAAACCTTAACAATTGCAGCCAAATACTTGGGAGGGGGATATAAAATGGCAAATAATTATGTATGTTGCAAGCTTTTCCATACTTACATGATTTGCATACAACAAGACAGATGCCTTTGTGGTCTGTGGGCAGAGGATGAAAGTTATATGTAAAGAAGTGTAGAATTCTTGAATTGACAAATATTCCCATTGTGGAATTTATGGGAATCTATAAAGTGATATTAGCTCATGTTTGGCATTGCTTCTGATGCAGTAGCAGAATGATGGCACAAGGCACAAAGCTGCCACTTTATATGTTTTGTACTATTATCAAAAATGTAATGAAACTAAAATGAAACTGTACTTCTTCAAATATAAGACCATCATAGACTTGGAAGGAACAATATGGTTATGTGAATCTAACCTCTTTCTCCCAAACAGAAACCGGAAGCATCCTTACTGAGTGCCTTGCAAAGTTAGTGTGAGATGCAACATTGTACCAGGAGAATCCTACTGGGAAAGTTCAGTCGGTAGAGCATGAGGCTCTTAATCTCAGGGTCTCAGGGTTCAAGCCCCATGTTGGGCAAAAGATTCCTGCATTGCAGGGGATTGGACTTGATGACCTTTGTGGCCCCTGCCAAATCTACAATTATATGATTCTAAGAACAAGGAGATCCTACTTGTTCTTCTCCACTCTGTAGCTCCCTCATCCCTCCCTGTGCTCTGGAAGATTCCTCCAACCCTCTAGAACAGTTTTTGTAGGTACACAGAGGGATGCAGTGGGGAGGTAAGGAATGATAAGTTTGTGAGTGAAAGTCCATTGCTCAAACTAGTTGGTTTCCCAAAAATTCCAAAAAAGAAAAAAGAAAAAAAAAAGATTTCACTGTAGCAGTTTATTCATTCTTCAGCTTCAGGCTCTCATTCACTTCCCCAGATCAGGATTGTTTGCCCAGGACAGGTTTGCTGATGTCTGACTTGTGTGCTCAGAACAAAATAAGGAGGCAGATCCACAACCTTTGTGGCTCTTGATTTTCCTTCCCATGGAAGGCACAACATAAGACTTCAGCCACCTTTGAACTGCTAATATTTGCACCACCAATATTGCATACAGTGGTACCTCGGGATGCAAACGGGATCCGTTCCAGAGCCCTGTTCGCATCCTGAATAGAACGTAAGATGTGGCTGCACGTCTGCGGGTCACGTTTTGCCACTTCCGCACATGCGCATGATGTCATTTTGACCATCTGCGCGAGCGGCGAAACCCAGAAGTAACACACTCCATTACTTCCAGGTTGCCGCGGAGCGCAACCCAAAAATACTTATCCTGAAGTGTATTTGTCCCAAGGTATGACTGTATTGTGTACTATCTGTTGTGCCTAATAGTAGCATTGTGTGAATTCAGTTCAACCCAGTTGTTTCAGATCTTGATTTTTCTAGCACAGCCACAAATCACTTCTTGATAAGCTTGTTTTGCATCCCCAGAGCAAACATCAACGCACCCTCTAGAGGCTCCTCTGCAACAGCCACACCTGCTATCCATTTTTTTGACCCTGTGCCACCATCATCATCTTCAGTGCCTCCTCAGTCCAGTGAAGAAGACAGTCTTCCTCCACATCTTCTACTGCCAGACAGCATCAGTCAGCTGGAAGAGTTTGGGCGGCAGAAGAAGTGGCACAAGAAGCAGTATAAAAACCATCGCCAAAGACAATTCAATGACCTCTGGGTTCGGATAGAAGATGGGTGAGTCTACAAAGGCTTGCTCAGGGATTTCCAACATCTGAAGCACTTTTCTGACAGCATTTCCAGATGGTGCTTTTTCCTGCTGTAGTGCAGAAGTAGGGATTAAAGTTGATCAGACCTTTTAAGTGATTATGAGTGAAATCAGGGTACAGAGAAAACAAGCAATCAGGGGAAAGAGAAGGAGAAAGATAAGATTATGGGCTTTCAACTAAGAACAAATAGCATTATCTGCAGAGATAACTGGTTTTGTGGACAAGCCCTATGTTATGAAAGATAATCTTTGACCTCTCTTCCCAATTTCTGTTGACTGAGTTTTGCCCTCATGTTTCATCAGTTTAAGAGAGAACATTTTCCTTGGCATCCTTTCCTCTCCCACAGTGTGTGTGCTTTCTATATATGTGGAAGGCAAACCAAGTTGTACTTGAATGGAAAATAATAGTACCAAGAATGGCATTTATGTGGCATGCTGACAATGAATGCTCAGTCCCGAAAGACAACAAAACACAGGCAACTATCAGCTTCTTTTAGATATGACAGCTCTTTCAGCCTCAATGTTAACAGTGTAAGAGAGAGAAAGCAAGGAGGAGAGACACTCCACCCCAATGGTGAAGGCAGTCAAGTGCAATAAAATGCACTAATTATAGCCATTGCTAGCAATCCTTATCAATTGTGCTGGAATTTCAGGCACTTGCCCTTTCCTTGTAGGCAATGTAGTGATGCAAAACAGAATGCTGTCAGTCACAATGATGTTTAGTTTCATTTAACTGCCCCTGAAATTAATAAATGCCCATTGTTTCCATTGCATTTCAACACAGTACCAAAATATAGTGCCTATCTTAAGGAATGGAGAGGCTGTATTTCTTCAGAAGAGGCAGAGGTGCTTTTGTTAATGTATATAGATTTAAATGTTGCTTAATATAATAAAACTCTCTTAAGTGGTATACATGAGAACAGTAGAAATAAAGAATAAGAATCAGATTTATTATTATTTTTGGCCATCTAACCTTCCCCCACAGTGGTTTGAGACACCTACAAGCTCCTTGTTTGGTATACTAATATCTTATTTAAAAGGTTGGAAATGGCACAAAGGTATAAAAGAAGGGGGCCAGTTATGCAAAAATGGAAGATATTGTGTGAGTGGCATTGGAGCTGAGACATGCCAGTTTTATGTCAGGCAGCCAATCAGAGGCAAGGTGGTGGTGGTCAGGGGAGCCATTCAGACCAAAACGTATCTCAGCTACATAAGTGTTCATTAAATAAAAGATGTATTCAAATTATGCCTCACTTTATTTTGGATACCTTATTTTGCTTTTGGGTGCCGTCATTTTAATTTTTTCTCAAGGACAGGGGCCTCAAATGCTGGAAGTGGGCCAGGCTTCTCTGCACCCCGGGAGAGTCTGATTATGCCATCTGAATGGTATCTGCCTTTGGAAGCCACCCTGAAACTTTGTCAACCTTGAGAATGCTCAGCCACAGTTCATAGGCTAACACTGACTTGAAAGGCTTTAGAAACTGTGTCCTTCTTCTGACAAGTTGATTGATATAATATAGTCTTTCCCAACCTGGTGCCCTCCTGCTGCTTTGTACTGTTTTGGGCATGGCTGTCCCATTTTCCTGATAATCTGACCAGGTGCCTCTTCAGTTCAAAGCAGGTTGCTACATGTCTTGTATTTTCAAGCTTTTATAGGTCTTTTCCACCTATAGAAGTCTGAAAGAATACCATATAAATTATCCTTCCCGAGAAGTAGCAGGAGAATGCTGTCCATGCTCAGAGCATTATCTGATACTGAGTTAATGTGAAAGAGACTGGGTTTTGTGACAGGATTTAGATGAGCATCCCCAAGCATCAGCAACCATCCTTTGCTGTTGAATATGATAGGCTATCACGTTGCAATTTATCTCACGGCATGTATAAAAATAGCCGTCTGTGTTGTTTAAGAGTGTTGTGCTTAAATAATTTATAACAGCCTTCGCTTTGTTTGAATGACTGAATGAAGCCTCAGTTTTGGGTGACCATTGGTTTTATTCCAAATTAATATATCTGGAATAAACATCACACCTGGGTTTCGTTCTCACAATCATGAAGATGCCATTTGAAAAAGGGAGGAAGCCTAATACTTTTATCGCTCTTCAAGCAACCCAGTTGGGCGAAGGAAAGGGGCGTCGCCAAGTGCTCAAGGTAGCCAAGCTGCATTATGTAATCTTGTGAGGAGTCTCTAAATTACGTTCACATGTATTTCTTCTTCCGCATCTGGCAAGAAGCTCCAGGCATAAATCAGCTAATAGAGGAGGCTCACATCCACCTTTCCGCTGTATCAGCAGAGCCTTGCCCAAGCCCGCGAGTCTGCACCTGTGCAACTGGTCCAACATCTGCTCTTGACATCCCCAGCTTCCTGATAAATATGATAAATGCAGGCAAGACGTGCAAGTAAAATAACGGCATAACTCAACAGTGTCTGTGAGGAAAAAGTAAATCTCCCCACTCATTGTTTCTGCCAGCATCCCCTCCTTCCCTTGATGGCTTTAGTAGAGCTTTTTGGATTAGTTGTCTGGTCAGAGTGTGCAGGATATATTAATTGAACCCTCTGAACATGTGTTCTTTATGCATTTTCATATGATCAGCCAGCTAGGAGAGGAAGCCATTTTTTATTTTATTTTAATCTCACAGGGGTTCAAGTCCTGCTACTTAGGCTTTGCATTATTAAAGTAGAGGCAAGGAATTTAGTGCTCACGCCCATAGCAAGATGTTATATTCAGCCTGCATAGCAAATTTTCATGCTCCGTTAATATTTCTCTTTTTACCATTGTTAAGCCTATTTGACATTACACAGGAAAACGTAGAATAAGTAGAATTACTTTTTTCCATCTGAGTTTACAACAGAACATGAAAATAAGGTACCTGTAAGCAAGTTGTGGCTCGGGGCCCAGAGGCTTTCACTGAGGACCACATGGGCACCAAAAGATGCCAACCACCACCAATTTTTGCTGCCTCACTGCTAATCTTGCATTCCTCCAAGACCACATGCCATCCTTGCCATGTCAACTGCACTCCTCATACTCCACCACAGTCCACTTGGCAAGCTGTGGACAGTGTGATTGTAATGAGGACTGTGTGCAGGGAGGAGTCTTCCCCAGGCTGCTCTCCAGGGGCTTCTCTATAATGGTCCCCTCTTTAAGGAGCTAATTGCCCGGGCTGACTCATTTCTGAGTTTATGGAAGATGGTTATAATCTTTATATTGGTGTAGGCTAATTTATGCTTGATCAAATTCATTTATAGACCTCTACAGGATCTTTTTAAAAAATGTGTTTGAATGCGTATTCTATATGGGTTTTTTTAATTGCATGGATGGGGAACACCTGGTCCTACCCCCCCCCCAGCCCCAGGCAAGAAGGAATCTGTAGTCTGGCAACATCTGGAGGGCCACAGGTTTTATAATAAAACCCCTGTTTTATTATATAGACTTCCATTTTAATTGACTGTAAGTCACTATATGAACCCTGTGGGCTGGGAATACAGAGTATAATTCTTAGAAATAAAAGCCATTGAATCTGTTGTCAAACCCACAGAGACTCTTCCACAGAAGAGGTGTTTGGCTCTGATTGTTGGGGTTGACAGACAGAAAGTAAGAGCTCCCATGAGTCCTTTCCATTGAACTTCTGTGTCAGGGCACAGTGCACTCAGGAAATCTTTTTCAAGTTCTGAAGTCTGGTTGAGTTCGTCTCTCATAAGCTCTCAGTTTCTGGGCTCCAAGTGCCAGGTTCAGCAGCCTTTTAAAGAGAGCCATTCCCTGCCAGGCTAAAGAGTGCTAGCATGTTCCTGAGGGTGCTTTGCCTACTGAACAGCTATA